GCACCCTTCTAGGACGTTGTCGAATAGGCTGAGCATGACCAGTATTAATCCGGTGCTTCACAAAATCCGTTCTTCCACTGTTGTTCTTTTCAAAAATACTGCCATGCCTAAACAGGAACTCCTTAGCCTTCTGTTTCTCCTCAGATGTTAGGTGATCCCATGGCTGCTCTAGATGTTTTAGTGTTTCTTTGGATGTCATTTGTGTAACAGCTGACGGCACTGATCACATCGGGTTGACACTTCTTACAGGTTCGCAGATGGCTATCTTGTCACCTTTTTGAATCTTGACACAATTCGGGAAAACATTCGCAACTCTGATCGGTATATTCTTGTCGGTGTTCACCAATGATTTTCCTACTAAGTACCTATCTTGTTTCTTGTTGACACTTTGTACCAGTCCAACACAGCACCCAGCGATTTTCTCCACTTTACCGAATACGATCTTCTCGGTATTACCAGGTATCACCACAGTTTCCGCTGATCTTACATCCATTCTTCCTGGTCCCTCGTCTGGAGATAACATAAACTCTTCATTTCCGATATTCAGGATATTTCTCTGGTGATCGAACGAAAATCCATGTTGACGAATCACATCCATGCCCAAGATGAAGTCATCTTCAATATCTGCCACTAAAACGCTATGCTGGAACTTCAAATTTCCTAACTTCAGTTCGACGATAGCCTCTCCCCGTACAACGGCCATTTCCCCCGTAACTGTACGTAAACACACTCTTCTTCTCAGAGGCATCAGCTTCAATCCTTGCACTGAGTTAGCCCGCACCAACGATACCATAGCGCCAGTGTCCACTGTCATTCGGATTCCCTTTCCATTGACTTTCCCGTCGATCACCAAACTGTCAGCGGTTCTTCCTAGACTTCTAATGGAAAAAATCCTGGGGGCTCTGTTCTCCCCAGTCAATACTCGCCCCTTAGTATTGACTGATTTTAGTTTTCCTGGTGCCTACGTTCTCTGGATGGTGAACGGGATCGCATTTGAACGCGGCAATCCCGTTTAATGTGGCCATTCCTGCCACATCTAAAGCACCTTATGTCCTGGGATCTTCTATGGTTCTCTGTCTGGGTGTTGTTGCTACCCTTGTTCACTAGTAACTCACATAGTTTACTAAACATCTCCTCAAACGTATGTGAGAACTTCCGGGCTGTTCCTCGACCGTTACCGATCTTATCTTCGGTCTAGGGATGGCGCTAAAAGCAGCTTCAATTTCTAGCGCCCTGACCAGTGCTTCGCTGCTGGTAGAAAATCGGGATATTTGCAGCGCCCTCTGTAATTCGTTGTCCCTCAGTCCGCTGATAAAGCACTGAGCAGCGAGTTCCTCCCTAAATCCTTCCGGTGCTTCTGGATATGCCAAGTGTACCAGCCGACGTAAGTCTGCTTCAAATTCTTGCAGACTCTCTCCGGACCTCTGCAGGCGTGTCTTGATCTGGGCCTGGTAAAGTTGACGTCGATGTTGATCGCCATATCTTCTGTCCAATGCAGCAACCAAGGTTTCGTATTCCTGCTGTTGGGCTGCAGGACTAGTTTGCAGCAGTTCCAAAGCAGGGCCGCGCAGCGCGATGACAAGTGCCGCTGCTTTCTCCTGGTCAGTCCATCCATTGGCAGCAGCCGCTGCTTCAAACTGTCGGTGGTACATCGTCCAGGTGGTTTGTCCATCGTAGGTCGGGCCTTGAGGTTCGCAGTTCCATGAACGCCAGGTGTTCTTACTTGTACCTTGGTCTTGTGTAGGTCCATCTCTAATTTTTCCATTTTCTGCTGAAGGCGTTCCTCCAGATCTTCTACGGCTTCTTGAAGGTGGATTTCTTGCCTTCTTTCTAGTTCTTCAAAGTTCTTCTTAAGACGGTTTTGATCTTCTTGTCTTTCTTTCTGGCCGGTGCGTCTCTATATCTTCTAAAATTTCCCTCCATTCATTCTTCTGACGGATTTCTAAATTGCCTAAAATTTTCTCAAGCCGGTCCTGTTCTTCTTGTTTATCTTGTTGTCGTTGAATTTCCAAATCTTCGAAAATGTTCTCAAGCCGGTCCTGTTCTTGTTGACGTCGTAATTTTTCCTCTTCCTTTTCTCTTTCTAATTTCTCCATAAAATCGCCCAATAATTTGCTTACTTCCTCCATTTTCTTAGCTTGCTCCCTTGTACCAACCATAAAAATACTCTAATTCGGTCTAAAAATCTTCCAATCCACTTAATTTCTTCTTAAAATCCTCTTGAATCGCACTTCCGACACCAATTGTTACGGATTCCGTGGGTCCACTATTTAAACTCACGATAAAATACTTAACGAATTTATTTGCTTCACTCTGTACACACAACTTATACTATTTACAACACAACTTATGCAACTACTATTACTCTAACGGTATTTCGCGGTATTTTCAAACTTCAGACTTCAAACTTTAAACTTGTCCAACTGCCAAAGCGTGGGCCTTATATACCCCCTGGCGGTTGTTTCTAGATTTTTCTAAAGAATTCTATAATTTTCTTTACTTTCTGGCGAATGCGCCAGGTTCCTCAATGGACGTTGCGATTTTAGCAGTATGCAGTTATGCAACCAGTAATACACCTTGACAGTATAATAAACCTTAATCAAATTTACCTTTATTTTAATCGTAGAAACTAAAAATGTAATAATATACAGGGTGTTCCATTTAAAAAAATACAACTTTAATATTTTTTATTTATTTGGGACACTCTGTATCTTGTAAAAATATTTTTAAATTGTAGCTCTAATAGTCCTTCAACGAACCCCAAACTTACAATTTGTAAAAATCTCATCGTTTAGCTACAATACTCCGTGTCGTATGTGGTGAACAACCCTGTATATCGAGAAATTATGGTTAACTCGTTGAATTTGAAACATTATGTCAGTTTAATAATATATTTTGGTACTTTTGTGCTTAGGCGTAAAAATGCTTAACTGTAATGACTAGGTGTTAAAATGAGTTCTTTATATTGCAATCACTTCGAAAATATTAATACTTTTGTGACGTTTGAAAAAAAAACATTTATTTATAAGTCTTATAACATGTCTACAGGTCTAATTAAATTTGGATGAAAGGACTATTGCTGATTACTGTGGATAATTTTCTCAGGAAAAATTCCTTGTTCCAAAAAAGGACTATCCTTTTCAAAAAAGGACAGGTGGCAACGCCAACTGAATTCAAGTGACTTGATCAATTCACTGACCCGTGTAAACGCGCTTTTATTTATGAAAAATTTGATTAGATGTTAAATGTTATCAAAGCTCGCTAAATCATACAAACCTACTTTACAAACTAATATATAATTAAACTAAACGTTCTCTAACCCAGTGTGAGTACATATTATCAGAGCAAAACCTTTGAAGGCGGGTAAAAGGACAATAACTCACAATCTTTAAGTTGTTTGGTTTAAATTTTAATGCTTAAAAAAGCAAGGGGGTGAAAGCGGGGTGACCCAAAGCTAAAAACAATTACAGAGGTCAAATTTATAAAATACAATCACAACAAGTTAAAAAGTCAAAATTTTTTTACAAAGTCAAAACATTATATCTATCACAAAAATTCTTCAATCACAGATAACAATATGGTATGCTAAATTTGAAAAATTAAAAACAACTAGACTAAAATCAACTATAATTAGATAAATTGAAAGAAAAAACATATCAAACAATAATCAAATCATACCTCAATGCATAATTCAAGAAAATTACTTAAGCATTAGTTAAATTTATTGTGAGCAGGGTTGGCATGATTTAAATCAAATGATTTAAATCATGATTTAAATCGTGATTTAAATCAAGTGATTTTTTTAATTTTAATCAGGTGATTTAAATCAAAAAATCCGATTTAAATAATGTTTTCTATTAAAATCAAAAAAATCTGATTTTTTTTATTTTTTTAAAATCATGATTTTTTCCAACCCTGATTTTGAGTGATACATTTTTTATATATTTGTTTTGTATTAGTAATGTAAGTTGAGAGTACATTATTTCAATCTGTATACGCTGATATTCAATTTTGTAGGATAAAATTTTTTAGTTATGTTAGTTAAGAACAAGTTAAGAATTATGTTTATTTTTTTATTTTTTAATTAGTATGTATATGTTGAATTTATAATTTATATATTGTAGAAAATTAATATTTACTTTAGTTTAACTTTTAGAAATTTAATATTTATTTTAATTTATATATGTAGAAGAATAATTTTTTTATTTTAATTTAATTAAACTTGTGTTCTTTAAAATAAAAGCATACTCACACAAAAGTCACCTAGGAAGTACAACCACTCGGAAGAAATAAAACTATTAATTTTCTACAATATATAAATTTGAAATATAAATTAAACGTCAACATATACTAATTAAAAAAAAAAACAAACATAATTCTTAACTTGTTCTTAACTAACATAACTAAAAAATGTTATCCTACAAAATTGAATATCTGCATATACAGATTGAAATAATTTACTCTCAACTTACATTACTAATACAAAAAAATATATATAAAAAAATATATCACTCAAAATAAATTTAACTAATGCTTAAGTAATTTTCTTTGAATTGTGCATTGAGGTATGATTTGATTATTGCCTTGTTTTTTTCTTTCAATTTATCTAATTATAGTTGATTATACGGCTTCCCTCACCTTATGATTTTAGTCTAGTTGTTTTTAATTTTTCAAATTTAGCATACCATATTGTTATCTGTGATTGAAGAATTTTTGTGATAGATATAATGTTCTGACTTTGTAAAAAAATTTTGACTTTTTAACTTGTTGTGATTGTATTTTATAAATTTGACCTCTGTAATTGTTTTTAGCTTTGGGCCTGATGATGGGAATATTTTAAATTCCCGAAACATGTCGCCCCCCTTACTTTTTTAAGCATTAAAATTTAAATTAAACAACTTAAAGATTGTGAGTTACTGTCCTTTTACCCGCCTTCAAAGGTATTGCTTTGATAATATACAATTATATAAAATTATTTTAATAAATTTATTTGTACTTACCCCTTGACTGTTTTCATAAATGAGATATCCTTACTAGGGAAATTAATTGTCCGTGAAGTCAGGTCCACATGAATATTCCACCACTCATAGTAGGTATTGTTTTTGACTATTGGTATATTTCGACTAAAAATAATATCTAATTAAAACTCATTCTCTACTTGAATAAGATAATAAAAGAAGCAGGAGTAGTCCTTTAATTCTCATTATCAAGGTGTGTATTTATTTTAAAATAAATTACTTGTGAACTTTAAATCACATCATATCTTTGACCCCCATTAATTATTTTAAATGTGCTTTTTTAACTTAAACTAGTTAGGATTCTAAAGACCAAATCCCGAAGCCTATAGCAGCTTTAAATAAATAGATGTGGGCAGGGGCGCAACTAGACACCGACTGTTGGGGGGGCTCAAGCCCCGAGACTTTTAAGGTAATATTGGTTTGAGGATAATAACAATTTTAAAGAAACAGTGATTTTTTGTTCATAATATTTTTACATTTTTTATTTAATAATACCATGAAATTAATACTATCTTAATCTTAACCAATCTTTATTATGTACAGGGTGGGTCAAATTGGACCCTTTTAAAGGGAAACACCGTTTTCTATAGGAGATACACGAAAACCAATGTCGGTCTCTGGAGCTCAATTTTTTATCAAAAAGATGATAGTGAAAACCGCATATATATCTGTTACTGTTTCGAAGTTACGGTTTTTTTATTCAAAAATGTGCATTTTTAACAAATCTCTATAACTTTTTTGCTATGGAAAATTTTGTATTTTTATGAAAACATTTCCAAAGTACCATTTTAATGGTTTAAATATAATTTTTTTAAAATTAATAATTTAAGAGTTATTAACAGAAAAACTAATTTTTTTGTTTGGAACGCCCTGTATATTTTTAATTAACTGCAAAGAATTTAAAATTACCTTTCCAAAAATATAGCATACTTAATATTTTGTTATAGTCCCCTTCGAAATACAGAATTTTTAAAAGTTCGCCACTTTTAACTAGTAGGCTTTGGACCCCTTATTTGACGATCTGCCCCTAATGGAACTCGAAAACATATTTTTTCAGCAAAACGAAGCACCGCCCCAGAACACTGAAGATATCAGCAAATTTTTGCAGCCAATTCGAGAATAATGAATAGCTAACCAAGGTTCCAGCCGTTGGCCGTCGAGGCCGCTGGACTTAGCGCGTATGGATTTTTCTATTTGCGAATGAATAAAGGTTTTTATTTTCAAATTGCCTGTATAATCTAGACAAGAATTAGAAGTAACTAGCGGTTATGCGAGGGTATCTTTCACCGCCACTGAGTTAATAAATTCAGCGAGAAATGTTTAAAAACGGTCCCGTGTGTCCATAATAGAATACGGTCGACATGTCAAACACCTGTAGCAAAATCTCTTGGTTTGTTATTTATTTTTATTGTTATTAGATATAGTTTAATCTCTGCATCTCTCATTGCAAATATTATTTTCGTTTTAATTGCTGTTCACAGCTAGAATTTTTTTCTATCACAGGCAAAATATCAAGTGTGCTATATTTTTGGAAAGGTAATTTTAAATTATTTTCAATGAATTAAAAATATACAGGGTGTCCCATATAAATAATCAAATTTTCTGTTGATAACTCTTAAATTATTAATTTAAAAAAAATACGTAAAAAAATTGCATGTTCTATTTGAGTAAAAATTACTTTTTGTGTCTCGCCTGAAATGCCAAGCGTACGCCAAAAAAAGTATAATTTTCGTTCATAATAAAATATTATCAAAAACTTAAAACTAATAAATATCAATAAACTTTGGTGATCAACCATGAGAACCTGACGCTTGTTACTCAGCTTTGCTCGTAGAATCACACTATATCACGTGGTTTTATTGAACCGCACCAAACATCTGGGAGGGCTAATTTTGGGTATAGGGGGGCTAAGCCCCCCCCCTAGCCCCCCCCCTAGTTGCGCCACTGGATGTGGGTAAATACAGGGTGGAGCACCTCATTCGTCTCAGTTGATTATACGAAAACGGAAAGATGTAGAAACAAAATATTTTATGGGTATATGTGAGAAGGCAATGTGCATAATTTAAAATTATTTTCAAATGTACAGGGTGTGTCAGAACTAAGATCCATACCAAAGTTATATTTTTTCTTATGAAACACCCGGTTTTTTAATTCATTTTTGGATTCATGGGCATAAAATAAGGCATTTATTATAAGGGTTTAATATGTTTAAATGCTTTGGTTTTTGAGATATTTAAAAATATATAAATATGCATGCTAGATAATAAAAAAGTTTGTCAACATACTGTACATTACTTTTCAGAGTTAACTCTTGTGCTGACTTTGAAGCCAAAGAAATAAACTACTAAAAAAAAGTATTGCTTCCTTAAATGTATACACGTGTATCAAAAATTGTTGGTCTATTTTAAATATTTATTTTACATAAAAACTTCGTTATTTCAAATACAACACTATGTATTTTTTTAAATAAGTCGAAGCAGATTTAAATGCTCCTTCAAACTATATTAGGGTTTCCTATACCTATCTGGCTCAGATTTTGAATAAAAAGCGATTTTTCAATAAAATAGCAATCAAGATGGCTGGTGTCCCCATGGTAATTTGATAGTGACAATTAGTAGCTATTTTCAAAATCGACATTAGTTTATGGACTTTGTTTCAGGGTTGGCAAATATCATGATATTTATATAAATATCAAATATCGGATATATATCTGATATATATCCGATATATATCAAGTGTTGATATTTATTTTTGTGTTGATTCTTTATGTAAAACTGCGTTTAGTATCAAGTAAAATCAAGATCTCAAGCAAATATTTTTATTTCAACTTAATTATTGTTGCTTGGCACATAATAGGAACAACATTAAAACAAAAATATATAAAAAACTAGTATGTACCCGCGACTTCGTTCGCGTCGGATTAATCATTTGTAATGGTGATGATCAAGCAAAGCAAGAATTTCCATTAACATACAAACTAAGATAAAATTTTCTTACATTTATGTCAGCATGAGAAAAAACAATATGGCGATATTATTATATAACTTGGTATAATATTTGAGGGGTAGTTTCATCTCGTTGGAATTTGACTTTCGAAAAATCCGTTTGCCAAAAATAAGCTTTTTACGTCAAGCAGTTTAAGCAGAATCGTGATTAATCAATTACCCAACTTTTGGAACACCCTGTATGATTTTTTTAAAAAATTTCAAAATATGTAAAAAACAAAATCAATTATGCGTGTCCAAGTGTTTTCCCGAAAGGCTCGCCGTATTTAAAAAACAAATATTGTAATATTTGTGGGTCGTTTTCACCCGCTTGGAATTTGAAATTCGAAAACCCCCTCTTTATCGAACCTCTACACCCCACAGTCAATCCGTTTGCCAAAAATCAGCTTTAAACGTCAAGCAGTTTAAGTAGAATCGTGATTACTCAATGGTTATATTTTATGAAACACCCTGTATAAATTTTTAAAAACCTTAAAATATGTAAAACAACAAAATAAAATATACATGTTTAAGAGTTTTTCCGAAAAACTCACCGGTTTTTAAATAAAAAATATTCTAATATTTGAGGGGTGGTTTCACCCCCTTAGAATTCGAGTTTCGAAAAATCCCTTCTTATCGAACCTCTACACCCTAAAGTCAATCCGTTTTCCAAAAATCAGCTTTTTACGTCAAGCGCTTTAAGCAGGATCGTGATTAATCAATGACCAATTAATCAATTTTTCGAAACACCCTGTATACATTTTTAAAAAATCTTAAAATATGTAAAAAAAGAAAATACAATATACGTGTTCAAGCGTTTTTTCGGAAACTTGACCGTTTTTTAAATAAAAATATTCTAATATTTGAGGGGCGGTTTCACCCCCATAGAATTCGAGTTTCGAAAAATCCCTTCTTATCGAACCTCTACACCCTAAAGTCAATCCGTTTTCCAAAAATCAGCTTTTTACGTCAAGCGCTTTAAGCAGGATCGTGATTAATCAATGACCAGATTTTTCGAAACACCCTGTATACATTTTTAAAAATCTTAAAATATGTAAAAAAAGAAAATAAAATATACGTGTTTAAGCGTTTTTCGGAAACTTGACCGTTTTTTAAATATAAAATATTCTAATATTTGAGGGGCGGTTTCACCCCCTTAGAATTCGAGTTTCGAAAAAATCCTTCTTATCGAACCTCTACACCCTAAAGTCAATCCGTTTTCCAAAAATCAGCTTTTTACGTCAAGCGCTTTAAGCAGGATCGTGATTAATCAATGACCAGATTTTTCGAAACACCCTGTATACATTTTTAAAAATCTGAAAATATGTAAAAAAAAGAAAATAAAATATACGTGTTTCAGCGTTTTTTCGGAAACTTGACCGTTTTTTAAATAAAAATATTGTAATATTCCACCCCCCTTTTTACCCCCTTAGGGGATGAATTTTTAAAAATCCTTTCTTATCTTACGTAAACATCATAAAAGGAACCCCTGTGCAAAATTTCAGCTTTCTAGGGTCAAGGGTTTGGTCTGGGCGTTGATGAGTCAGTATCAGTCAGGACAGTCAGATTTATATATATAGATATACAGAAATTCTAAAAAAAATAAACAGAACTTCTAAAAAATAAACAGGAATTCTAAAAAATAAACAGGAATTCTAAAAAATAAACAGAAATTCTAAAAAATAAACAGAAATTCTAAAAAATAAACGGAAATTCTAAAAAATAATCAGGAATTCTAAGAAACAGACGGAAATTCTAAAAAATAAACGGAAAATCCAAAAAATAAACAGATATTCTAAAACTAACAAACAAATTTATATTTGATTTATTAATTGTATTAATGGTAAATCATCGTCAGATTCGTCAGAGTCAGAATCGATTGATACTGTTTCTGGCAAAGTTTTTGGTACATTTGAATTGTCCCAGATCCAATCAATATTATCTTTTTTGTTTTTTTCTTTCTGATTGTTGTATTTAAATAAAAAGGTCAATTTTCCAGCTTTTTCGTTCCATGTTGACTTTTTTAACGTAGAAATTTAAGAAAAGAGTTGAGTTTCATTTTTTTATAACTATCATGATATACAGGGTCCGGCAATACAGGGTCCGGCAATAGTGCGTCGG